TATAGTTAACGTATACCCTACTCTTAACGGCGCTTTAATCGATTGCGCGTACGATCCGCTAGTAGCGTACTACTAGGCTCGGAAGTAAGGGAAATCTAAGAACAGCTACGCTTATAACTAACCCCTTAGGGAGGGGGGGGGGGGTCCGCGAAGAACCTCCGCCCTACTTAGCTAGGACCGAGAAACGCTATATATTATTATTATCTATTATACGGCAGAAAGGGTAGTACTATAGCTACTTACCTCTATACGAGATTACTCTAGTCTCTAAAGGAATAACTCCTTCTTCTAGCGGTCGTTAGTAGGTTCTGCCTTAACTACTAGTTCTTCCTTAACTACTAGTTCGGGCTTAACCTATACGTACGTTAGTAGGTGCACTATTATACGGAGAAAAGGGTATATAAACTATAACGTTCGCTAAAAGATAGGCATCGCTTTCGTCGCTATCGTCCGTAGTTACGGTAATATCGATGTTATCTAGGTTATCGTCGGAGGCCTATTAGGAATTAGCATAGCAACTAGATGCATATTATATAGGTAATACGTATAGGTTTCTCTACCTTCGGCTTCTCCGATCGGGCTTTCTTCTTTTTCTTCTTATTATTACTAGCGATGGCTTTTTTATAGAGCCTAGCTATAGCCTTAACGAGCTTCTCTTCCGCTACGGCTATATATAATAGGGAATTATCTATATCGTATTAGCTAGGCCGCTTAAAGACTAAGAACACCCTATACGTCTTCTTCGTTCCYTACGGGAAGATACGAGCGAGCCTCGAGCCTTCGTATTCCTTAAACACTAGTTTAGTAGGCCTATTACGGTTATTATACTACTTAGTTATGTACATAAGGGTGTTATTAGGGTAATCGATCTCTAACTTTATACCTAGTAAATACTTAAATAGTTGCATTATAGCAGCTATATAATCGAACTTCTAATTAGGTACTAAGACAGTTTAAGGTTGCCCTATTAAAGTTAGCGATTGTACACCGGTGTCTAGAACGACGAAGTCGCTAGTAACAAACTAACTATATATATACCCTTCTTCTTGTTTTAAAACTTCGGTATCCTATCGGGGTCCTTAGGTAATATCGTATACCTAGCAATAATAATAGTAATAGTTATCCTTACCTATATAAAGGAGCCGGATACCGTTCCCGCTAGTTCCTTAGGCCGAAGGCTAATTAGGAGGTTACCAGCGTCGTACTCCGTCTTTAGTAGGTTCCGTATATAGTCGGTATCGATCTTCCGCTAGCGCTTATTTATCGAGCGCCTATTATTCAGACTAGTATTATTTARGTAATTGTTATCGCCGTAGTTCTAGCCTATTCTAACTAGCTTATCGTCGGATGTTTCTATATTAGAGGYAATCTCTATAGGGGTAACTCTAGGAGGGATTCCGGCGCYRTTAAGGCGAGGCTAGCRTACTAGTAGCTRCGTAGCCCGCTATATAAMGCCCTTARAGCTGCTTRTAACTAGCGGCGTTAGATTATAGAGCTYRTAGAAAGGGYACTTAATATCGTTRCGTAGGGTTTCGCYRTAATTAAAATTATTACGCTCTATATATATTCGAGGCTATAGCTTCTTCTATTGCTTCTTATTGCCTATCGTTCCTCCGTATAAAGCGCTTCGGGGTTCGTAGACGGTATTGCGATCGTATAGGAGCTATAATAGTAGTAGTAGCCGAGTCGTAGACCGAAGAATAGAGGGAGGGTAGAGATAGTAGGGTCCCGTTTATAGCTTTATA